CGCACTCAGCTCACGCGCGGTGGGGGAGGGGGGTCGGTTGAAGGTGGGCAAAAGTGCTAGGCGGTGGTACAGGTGGACGACGGGGGTTGGGGGAGAACTGGCCTAGCGGTTAAGGACTGAATTCAAGGTGGGAAACATAAGTTCCTGCCTTAGGGGTAAAGCCAACTGGGGGATTTTAGGCCAAACTCTCTGAGACCTATCAAGAAGATTATAGCAAACCACCTCCAAAATTGTTGCCAAAAAAACTTCAGGGACTTGACTATGGAGTCACCAGGAGTCAAGACACACACAACTTCCAATCTTGTTTACTCCAGGATTTTCAGACTGCATTTTCCTCCCTATTTATACAGGAAAGCAGGACTGACAGTATAAGTAAATCAGATTTGCTCTTTGAACAGGGATAGAAGAGGCACTGAGAATGTTACCGTCTTTTATAGCTTTCAGTTTTGGTCTAGGTAAATTGGCTCAGTGCTGTCTGGTGGATGATAGTTTCAGCTGACATATTTTCTGATTCATCTTCTAAGATTTGAGTTTTTGTTTGTATTTTTGTAACCTGCCTTTATTTTCCCTGTTCAGGGAGAAATAATGTAACACGTGACATTTATTTAAAAGAGAACTTCCTGTTTTTTTTATTTACACTGTATCATTTTTCTTGATTTAAATGGTTCTCATTTTTGTTCATGGGTTCCCCTTTTCATTTTGCAAGGAATGAAAGCACAAAAGAAAATGCTTTTCCTTGGAAAAAGCCTTCACCTTCCTTAAACAGCTTTGAGAAGGAAATATATTTTTGTATGTGTTTGACAAGCTTTTCTGCTGTCCTGGAACTGAGAGATGGATGTTTTTAAGATGAAATCGTGATTTTTAAAAATGTAATCTGTTCTGTAGAATTTTGTTTGGATAATATCTGAAAAATTGGAGACAAGTGGGTAGCCAAGATTATTTATTCTGAATTCTTAGGTTTTCAAACTTTTAACATGAAATGCAGTCTCTCATTGGTTCAAATTTTTATTTTGAGTCAGGATCATGCATATATGGAACATATTCTGGGAAGCACATAAGAGTGTAGAAGACTTATCTTGAAAGAAATTGGTGACTATGTTTGGTTGTATATTGTTGTTCTGAAAGCTTCCTTTTCCTAGCATAGGAAGAGAAATTTGAATCTAGCATGCCATATATAATTCTTTAGAAAGGATGTAAGGACACATCCGTTCTCTTTGAAATTTATAATTCAGAATTTGACATAGACCAAATGAAGAAAAGTGGGATTAGAATACATAGGGAAATTGTTTGCACTAATTGAAACTAAGCCACATTTTACAGTTTAGGTACAGTGAATATGGGTAATGCCAAATGTTTCCCAGAAAATGGTGTTAAAAACTTGGAGAAACTAACCAAGACAGCCATTTCAAGATGGAAGGATGAGCAACCAAATGGGGAGCTAAGTGGAAGGAGACAGAGTTCACATTGCTGAGCGTAGAAGATATAAATAATGGGTGAGAAGATATGGAGAGTTTTGAAGGAATGGATAATGGTGGGCTGGATCTAGGAGTAGGTAAAAAGTTAGCACCTGTATTTATGTAGCACTTAGAGGTATAGCAGAAATGAATGGCAATGGTAGATTTCTGAGCAGAAGTGGAAGGACAAGGAAAGGTACCAGGGGAGGTTTGAAAGATGAAATCAGTAGTGGACAATATGAGAAATAATGACAGATTTAACTGAAAGATATGAAAACAGAGGCCTTTTGTCCTGCAAAATTAGTTACATGATTTTGTGACTGGTACAGCAAATGTAGATCCACAGTGGCAATGCTCAGGGTGTGAATTGCCTGGAAGAAAATGAATGGAAGACGGAATTAACAGGAGAAAAGGTAGTATTCATTTATCATAGGTGGAAGAGCATTTAGAAAGAGTGGGGAGAAAGTAGGATTTCACTGGAGCTCATAGTGAGAAGATAGCCCGTCTCCCAATCCCAGACCACTTCAAAAGGTGCAAATGCTGGATGTGGAAATATAGGGGAGGAGAAACAGCTAGAGTGAGTTTGTGGGTAAATGAAGAAAGGAGGTCTAAGAATGATGAGAAGTTACAGTTGTGCTGGGGGGGGTAAAAAGGGGGGCAATTACATCACAGTGCCACACCTACTACTTTTTTTGCACTACCCTTGGCAGATGCCACCAGGAAGTTACTTTCCTTCTGTAGCCCTTCATCAAGGTAGAGTAATGTAACTTCAGATAAATCTAAATAAAGGATGTATTGCATTTTGATTTTCCAACTGACCCTCTAATTGCACTGAACGTACAACACTACTATAAAGTAGGTAACTTTAATTTTTGCATTTGTATCCTCCATTTATCGTAACGGTGATAAGGAAAAAGAGAATTCAGGTTTCTCAGCTGAAAAGCCAAAGGACAGTTTATGTTTCTACTGACCTTACAGAGTCTTGTTGATTTCAAGAGGAAATCAATTTCCTGGATTTGTCCAGTCTTGGATAGGAAATTCAGCAGAAATAGGAATATGAAATAGAATGTATTTTACTGTTCTGCTGCATGGCGGAAACTGATCTCATTTCTACGAAGTCCAGAATCACAGGACATAACTTAAAAAATCTCCAACAAAATAGTCATTAGGTGAATTTTTGGCTTTGTGAGTTAGTCAGAAGTCTTCCCGAGGAAGAACTAGGTTTGAAATATTCTGAACCATTTTTTCCCCCCTTCAGTGGCTTACTTTCCTGTCCCCTTGTAACTGATACTTTTCTGCTTTTTTTCTCGCTTACTTGTTCATGACGTCTTGGCCACAACTTGATTACGTGCCATCAAGTCAGTGTTGATTCCTACCAACCACATAGATAGACCTTCTTTAGGATGACCTGACCCCAGTTTCAGTATGTTTCTACTGAGCTTACAGAGTCTTGCTGATTTCAAGAGGAAATCAATTTCCTGACCTGGCCCTTTAGGCCTTCCAACAGTTTTCCTATTGTTGGCTGGTGTGGGTCTTCCAGGCTGTGTGGCCGTGTTCTGGAGGTTTTGTTTCCTAACATCTCGCCAGCATCTGTGACTGGCATCTTCAGAGGGCAGGAGCACAGACAGGAGCAGTTCTCTCTGTGCCCAGGATGATGTGACCCTGTTGTGGGTACCTCCAGAACATGGCCACACAGCCCAGAAGACCCACACCAGCCATCGTATTCCGGCCGTGAGAGCCTTCGACAATACAGTGCTCTTATTCTTGGTGGAACATGGAACTGGCGATTAAATCTGGAAATATCCTCTGGTGTTCATACTGCTGAAATGGAAAGGCTTAGTGGAATAATTATTTGGTTACCTAACCCCCCATCCCCCTTCAGAGGAGGCAGTCTTGAGGCCCAGACCAACAAAAATCAAAAACCTCTCTAGTATGATAGCATATAGAAGGCATACTTGCGTAGCTTCTATAAGACCTCCCTTCCTGCAAGCTACTGACAGCCTGGTCAAGATAGCTCTCAAGCTAAATGCACTGTGTGATCAATAAGTGCAAGGCCTGTGGGTTCAAACATAGAACGTCTAATATGGAGGATACCTATGTCTGAAGAGTCCTGGTAGTGTAGTGCCTCCTGCTGGTCAGTAGCTAATATAACATCTATATTCTCATCTATTTAGTAATAGATGCACTGAAGATGTTACCCAGTTGGGTAACGAAACATTTGCAAGAAAACAACCAAGCTCAGAGAACCCCAAGGACTCCACAATCTTTTTAAGATCTCAGATCCTTGGTAAATCAAAGATATGCTCTCTACACATCTAAAATATTTAAATAATATTCCCAAAATATGGATTAGTCTGGTGGAAGAGAGATATGCACTCTCATTTACCAGCATAGAGATTGACTATAGATAGAGCAGACTTTAAGTCCATAGAGACTGTTGTATTTACAGCCAAAGGATCTTTACAACTGAAGTACCTGAACACCTTAAATATAAGAACCTCGTCTGAAAAATGAAATTAATGTATAAACACCAAGCCGTCTCACCCAGCTCTGATAGATAGGATTAGCCCATCTTGTTTGCCGGAAGCTAGTTTTTTAGAAGAAAAAATGCTGTAGATGTTTAAAATGTCCTATTGTCCAGGTACAGATTTGACTGATGTGGTGGCCTTTTCACCTTCTGTTTCCATAGGTGACCCTGAAGCCTTAGCAAGCCACAGTTTTGGAAATGGGACAAACAGATCTGAAAACGGGTCTTCAAAAAACAGTGGATACCCTGAATATATTGCTTATTTCCTGATTCCAGTATTCTTCCTTATGGGGCTGTTAGGGATTTTAATTTGCCACGTGCTAAAGAAAAAAGGGTATCGGTGTACAACTGAAGCAGAGCAAGAAGAAGAGCAGCTTGAGGAAAAGATAGGTAGGCAAGAACCATTTTTTAAAAGTAGCGTTGGTAGTCGTGTGGGCATAGGGGAACAGCTTGGGTTGCTCCATGTTGGATGCCATGGTGGTTAAATCAGTTGGGCTTGGCCAAGTTCTGCGAGTGGATTCTGTTAATAAGGCTCCTGGCCATTGTACAAACAGTGTCTGGGTATAGGCTGGCTTTCCTTCTGAAGAGATGAGCTTCCTTCAAGCAAGCAAGAAGCTAACTCTTTTGAATTTCCTATAGATAAGTTTTGTAGCTGAAAGAAAAAGTACTTGTTGGAATGCTTGAGCCACTCAATTTTTTTTTCACCGTAGGACTCTGAGTTTTCTTTGAACATTTACTTCCAGTCCTGATTACTGTTAGAGAATTGCGTCACAGGGTCATATAGATTGAGGAGATAAAGTAGAACAGCAGCGTCATGAACTCTACCACACAATACAGCTTTTTCTGGCCTAAGTGGCCTCCAGATATGGGGACTTCAACTCCTAGTATGTCCTTCAGATTTCACTTACTAAGGAGGCACAGAATGGACTCAGCGAACCACCTTGCTTTCTGTTGCTTAGCACGCCCTCCAGACCTTCTGGAATGGCTAAGTCTCATACGTGTTCCTTTGTTCATCTTGAGTTTCTCCTGAGCTTTCTCAGCCTTTATTTCTAGCGTCATGAGCTGCAGAGCCTCCCATTCCAGATATGGATTTAAAGTTGCAGAAAAGTTGGAAAAGAAAGCAGACGGTCGGGACGAATAGGAAGAGATGACACTTCTGCATCGATGCTTGTTAGTTTTTCAGCCATACCGTGTGTTTAAATGGAGATAACAGTCTACCCCTCTCAGACAGTTTACAGAGATGGTGGTTGTAATCTCTGCTTCATACGCTGCTTTGGGGGATTGCTGTTGTCATATAGTTTTGCTTTTACTTTCCAGGAATCAAAGAACAAAAGTGACTTTTTGGTTTTTACTTTCAGAATTGAATGAAAGTGTAAATGATAACAATGATACCGTGGGACAGATTGTCGACTACATAATGAAAAATGAAGGTAAGTGACATAGTTTTTAAAAATCACTCTGCAGATCTGTTTAGCGTTTTTAGTTATTGCAGTTCCTTGTGAAGGACTTTAAAGTGATGAAATCTAACACTTTAATTCATGGCTTATATTTTGTTCCCCAGTTTTATCGGTGAGGTCAGAAACTGATTTTTAAACGTTGAGTTTTTGTTTGTGCAAATTGCTTATAACAAAGAGTGTTTTTTTGAAGAGTCAAATCTTATGGAGAACAGGTTTGGCATGTAACCTACATAGCAGCACTCGTGCATAAGAGATAGATCTAAAGATATTTGTCAGAGTTCAGAATTTGTCAGAACAAAGGGTCAGACTAAACCTTCAGAAAACAATGACACCCATCTTGGGAATCATTTCAACGTTTTCTGTGTGCAAATACAATATGGCTGGTCTTCAGTGACTTTCTGCCGGCCCTCTGAAACTATAAGTCACTGCCTTGTTCGACGTCTCCCCGGCATCTAAAGCAGTTGAATTCATTTGTCATGTGGAACAACATTTCTGCTTTCCATTTAAGCTACACAATTTGTGATCCAAAAGTAAGGATGGCAAGTCTTGCTCTATTTCCACTCACCCATTTGCACTGAAAGACCGCAGTGATTCAAATGCAAGGAAAAAGCTCATGGTATATTCCTGCCAGGACCTTACCATTTTCAGAGTAGAGGAGAGTTTCACGCGGGGATTTCATCTATCCTTAAAAATCAAGCTACCTTGAAAACAGTGTAGTTTCTTATGTTTGTTTTTCCCGGGAAGTGACACTTGGTGAGGAACACCTCCATCCCAGGAAGATTAAGCAATACAGAATTTCTCTGGATATTTAACCCTGCTTTGAAGACAGTGCACCTTTAAAACTTCTGTTATTAAAATAGTCTTTATTAAAATACTATGTGCAGGGTGTCCTGTGCCTCTCCCCTTTCTCCCGAGTAAGTGTGCATGGCATTGCGCTGAAAGACCCATTTTCTACCAATTCTGTAGTATCAGTAAATGAGTTAATTTAGCTTACGGTTTGTGGTCTTCTCATTCACCAGTTTGCTCATCCCCCCGTTGGAAACAATGGGGGTGAAAAATTTAGAACAAAAATGTTAAATTATTTCTGATTTTTGCAGCTAACGCAGATGTGCTGAAAGCTTTGGTTGCTGATAACTCAGTGAATGATCCAGAAAGGTAAGCAGTCTCATTGCACTGCTTTGTCTCTTCCCCAAACAGCATCAAATAAAGTGGAGCGAATAATTCTATAACTATCCAAGGAATCTTTCTGTTCTTCCAATTGTCACTGTAGGAAATTTGGTTCAAGTCTGCTGATATTTTGGATATCCCAGACTTTTTTTTTTAAAGTTTCATGAACGTGTTTTAAAATGCTGGCTGATTTGACAAGCTTGCTTCATTGGGCCGAAAATAGCAATATGGCTTCATGAAATGCCTTGCACGCTAAAACCATGATATATTCAAGAAAATAAGGTAAGGTGCTTGAATGTGTGATTAAATCAACACAAAACTGGTTCTTGGCTAGAAGCTTAGAATGTGAATTTGAGAAAAGGAAGAGGAAAACAGGAGGAGCAGGAAGAAGAGGGAGGCCCAAGAATATAACAATCACATCTAATTGTGCTTGGAGTAGGTTCACATGTAAGATCATTTGAGTAATGGAGTTGATCTGAAAGCATGCTTGGTCAGCTAAACAAGCCATTTTGGGGGAAATTATGTGCACAGTGTCAGTTTACTTGTGTCTGTAATGTCACAAACCTAGTTCCTTCCCCTTGCTGGTGCATTTTTATTTGAGTTGTTATTTTTAGTGAACACAGTATGGTATGGTGGTTACCATATTGGACTGGCCCCAGAGAGACCCAGTTTCACATCTACCTCAGCCATGGAAACTCCCTGGGTGACTTTAGGCGAGCCCAACATGTATCACGCTATTTTTTTAAAAAAATGTGGGGGGGGGGAGGATGGATAAAATGAAGGGTTTCCCCCATGTAAATAAAGAAACAGACTTCAGACATCAGGAAGAAAGTTAACATTGCCAGCTCAACCAGCATTTAACTCCCTGGAATGAATGAGTCTGCTTTAAATGACAAGAAAAAAGAAGTAGAGTCATAGACAATTCGAGTGAGAAAGCTCAGAGCAATTTCTGTTCAAAAGTAATGCTTGCATATCGGTGTTAGTCTCATTTTGGGGAAAAAAAGAATTGAAGGTTAAGAAAGGCTTTGTGGAAAAGGGTCATTTGGAAAGAATGTGTGTTCAGAAATAGCGTATTATCAATAGTATGAGCTCAGGAAAGAAAAGACAGTGGGATTTAATCCATTGACTGCCTTCCCCAAACATTCATTTTTGTTGTATTTCTGCTCCTAAAATTAGCCCAGCTACTCCTGGCAGTCCACCAAGTCCAGGTTCCCCAACGTCTCCTGGTAGTCCTTTGTCAAAACATACTTGCCGGGGACACCACTTGCACACCGTCGGGGGCATTGCTGGGTCAGGGGCTTGTACCCGGTGCAGCCAGAAACGATGGCATCTCTTCAGTCCAGCTAAAAGAGCAAAAGACGTCAGAAGATCCCGGCAGGGAGAGGTCACAATACTGTCTGTGGGAAGGTACGTAGGCCTGGTTTCAATGGAGGTGGTGGCCCAGCTGTCTTCCATTTTCAGGTTGGGAATAGGTGGATAAGCTCTTGGATTCAGACGGGGCTAAGTGAAACACAGATGTATCCAGTTGCCTTGGCTTGATATAACAAGCCAAAATGGGCAAGGGGCAAGAATGAATGGATGGTCTTTTCCAAGAGGTCTTTCCACAATCAGTTGAAACATCAGGCCTGGCAGATGGAATCACAAATGGCACCAAGGTTTGAACAAATACAAACTTAGCTCGTACTCACCGGTCACTTCTGATTTTGGAAACAGTTCTGCTATCTTGGGGTTAGTTACTTGTTACTTAGTTGCAGTTATAATTTCGCCAACTTGGTATGGAAATGTAAGACATCTAAGAGAACATAAGATACCCAACTCATTTGATTAGTTGCTTTCTGGGGAGGGTACGCTGTCCTTCAAGCGTAAGTAATTTAGAGAACAGCAACAAAGATCACATATTTATTTAATGGTGCTCAAGTTGCCTCAGTGTAATCTTTTATAAGTACATAAGAATTGGATGTGAGTAATTATCCCAATGCCAAATCATACCTCCCCCTCCCCGAGGGATTAATAATGATAATGGAGTTTTAATAAAAGTAGATGAATGCCGTTATTCTGCTATACAGGGTTGTCCACAGAAGGTGTGTCAAAAAAATCAAGATGATGACTATGACCTCATAGTCAGATCTTCACCCCCTTTTTTTATCTATCATGTGTGACACACGTTAAGGTGAGGAACTTCCATCACTTGGTTGAGGCACCATCTTGACTTTATTGAACACCCACCCTAACCCCCTGCTTCCATGACTTGTTCCTTTTGGAGCAGTGATTTTTAGATATTTTAGATTGCTGGAATTTTAGGTCGTTAAGTTACTTGTTCTGACTAAGCTGGATCCTTTTAACAGTTTAATTGCATTTTTCTAGATTTCGCGTTACCAAAGTGGAACATAAGCCTGCTGCAAGGGAACGAAAACACTTGGTGTCTGTCAGTGGAGGGGAAGCTGGTGAAATGCCCTCTACTCCTTTTAAAGAGGGGTCTAAAGAAGAGCCAGTTTCAGTTCCTGTCAAACAAGGATCAAAAGAACTGAAATTAACACCTACCAAACAAGAAAAGAATGTGAAATCTGTTTCAGAGTAGCACTTTGAGATAGAACGTCATGGCGATCCATTATCAGGTCAGTACATTCCAGATCTTTATTATAAGTCCTAAAGAAATTATAAATCCTTTAAAGGCCAAAAGATCTCAGGTTTTCTTTAAGAGAGGAATATATTTGCTTTAAGTAATTGAACTCTGTAAAATAAGCCCTTTATTTCAAGATATTGTATCTCCATGTTGGGGAATATTGGGGAAGGTATCAATATTGGACTGGATCTGATGTTCTTGGGTTGGATTCAAAGTTCTGTTCCTTTGTTGATGCCTCCCCAGGTGGAATTCTACCCATAAAGGTTGTGATCAAAGAAAGGAAGAAGACCCCTTGTTGATTTTTCCTTATTTCTCTGCTCCCAGTATTCTGGAGGATGCATGGGGAAAAGCAATCTGCCAGCACGGCTCCCTTGCTGCTGCTTCTCTCATGGATGAGAGCATTTCTTCTTTAACAGGAGATTCCTTTATTGTCCATGTTTATACTGTTCACCGATAGTGTCAACAAGAGCTTGCAGAATTAGGGGTTCTGTATGATGACCAGCAATTGCCAGTTTGTCACTTCCAACAATATGTGATTTTTCTTCTCTTCTTCAGCAGGTGGAGGCTTTTGGAGAAAGCAAGTAAGGAAGACCATTGTGGGGGGGAGGAAAAAATCAAACTTGGCACCCTAATGCCTTCTCAAAGAGGTATTTGTAAATGCAGTATTGTGCGCAGCTTTCACTAACTGAATCTCTGTACAATTTGGTCCCAGATATTTAATGTATTTTTAATAATGGAATATTTAACGGCATTTAATAATTTGAAGGCTACTGGAACCTACAGTCTGCAGTTTTATATTTTTTCTTAAAAAAAATGTCTTTTTTTCACTTCTAACAAAGCAGAACTTTAATGAGATCTCTCTCGGAATGGGCAAAACCAAAACCGTTTTGTCAGAGCGTCTCTCGTACGTGTCTCATTACATTAGGTCAAATCAAATCAAAATAACGTAATCTGATATTGCTCATTTCTGAGAGCAGTGTCACAGAGAATGAACGTTGTGAGCCATGTTTTTGTCTTAATTTATTGCTCAATAACGCACTGCTTAATTATATTTGTGCTGCACCCTTACTGTAATTGCTGTTTCGTTCTCAAAACCGACTTTACTGTTTTTTCCCGAGCTCAGATGAGCTGCTTATTGCATTTGTGGACTTGTCCAAGAACTAGTTTGTGGATATGTGTGCAATTTATTGTTACTTTTTGCCCGATACTATAGGCAAACTGTGAAAATAAATATAAGAAATGCCCTTCAGCGTTCGGAGATTCTGCACTCATGGCTCTTTTTAGAGAGATCAATATTGCTGAAGGGCATCTAAACATCTGTGACAAGAGGGCATAGCATTAATAGCGCAATCTAAAATGTGTCTGCACAGAAGTACATTCCAGTAAATTCAGTAGTTCTTTCTTCCAGGGTAGTATGCACAGCCGTGTTTCTCAACCTCGGCAAGTTTAAGATGCGTGAACTGCAACTCCTAGACTTCTCCAGCCAGCATGGAATTCTGGGGGTTGAAGTCCACCCATCTTAAAGTTGCCGAGGTTGAAAAACACGGATGTAGAGGATTGCAGTCGACATTAGCATTACTTAGGAAAATATAACTCTTCGTTTTCTGTATCCCGAGCCAGATATACAGTACTTTTTTCTGGGATTGGGTTAGACCGCGTGTGGGATTCTTGGAGTTCTCTTTATACCTTGCTAAATGTTACTTCCCCATGAGTTTTGGGTGGGAGGGATTATAGGTAGGTGGAAGCATTTCCCTATTAAGTGAAAAGCCTGCGCCTTTATGTGATAAAATTTAGCTATGTGATACCACAACTTTGGACAATATGGTCACGTTCTTAAAGCCCAAAGTTAAAGAAAGCTTGGGTTTGAAATTAAATAATTAAATGAGAACCCTTCCTACAATGTTGCATGCATTCTACTTAGTCAACAGTGCTCTCGTCCTTGTTATCCTTGTCACTTACCTTCCCGCTTAGTTGTTGGTGCCAGTGTCCTGTGGCCACTGCTTGAGGGGAGTGTCTTCTGCTGGTGACGTTCCCTTCCCACTGGTAGAGCTATTTTTGCTACATCAAGACCTGAGCTTAAATTTGGAAACGAAGGGAGTGATATCCTTGGGTGCTCCTGACGACCTCAGTGAGGCTTTGCTCTAAATCCTAGTCATGTTTACCTGATTGCTGACTGGCTGGGGTCATTTAGCTTGAGAAATCCTCCCTTAAAATAGAGCCCAGATTGCTGCCATTCTAAAATAGGGCTGGCAAAGGGCAATTGAGAGGACTTTTCAGCCTTGAAAAGGGCTAATAAAAATACACTACACTAACTCCGACGGAATGCCGAAGATGGTGTAGTCCAGTTCTCAAAGCGAGCATTGTTCTAGTTGGAATTTAACCCGTCAGGATGGTTAAGTGGATTATTTAACTGCAAATCCAACAATTCTTGAGGAAAAACTGATTGCAAGTATCCTTCAGATTTATTATGAGTTGTACTAGAACAAGTTGCACCACTCCCAGCTTTGTGGGGAACCTTTAATCACTGTTTCTCAACCTTGGCAACTTTAAGATGTGTGGACTTCATCTCCCAGAATTCCCCAGCCTGCCACACTTCTTAAAGTTGCAGAGGTTGAGAAACACTGCGTTAGATAAATATTCACACCTGTACAGACTTCTGCTGTTGACCAAAATCTTTGGATTGCGAAAATATATTTATATGCTTGAATAAAAGTGTTTCTCAATTGTAGAACACAAGCCGTTCTATCAATAAGCTTGTATGATGTATCAGTTGCCAGAGTGGAGATGAGACTCACTTTTCACCTTAAGTGTAATTTAACTGTGCATTAAATGTATTTTAACAATTTGGTTTGTTGTAAACATTTTGTACTATTTGAACAATAAAAGCAGCCAAGCCCTTTTTAAAAGCTGTGTCACCTTGCTTTCTTTCAAGTCAGACTTTATATCCTTTGTATTCTTTATCATGTTATATTGTTGTATCCAGGAAACAGTGTTTTGCAAGTAGTACCTGGGGTAGTATTGTACCTGTTTTTAAAAGAATGAGAGCTTTCAACTTTTAAATGTAAATTTTAAAAGAATTAGAGCTTTTCGCAGCTTTTGAAGTGAACAAAAGCGTAGAATGAAAAGTCACGACGATACTGTATCAAAGTACATGGTTCGGGCAATATGTTAAGTTGAATTTCCAAATTAAGGACTGGGATTGAGCACGTTTGATTCTTGATTTAATAAATAATGTAGAAAGGAAGCTTTTCACTGGGGGTGGGGGACTCAGATTTACTATGACCCTAAATACCCAGTACACTTGGATAATTTCTCCCAAAGGACAAAGTACCAGATCCAGCAGAACTGGTTTTGCAATCAGCAAGGATCCAAATGCGTCCATTATCTGCAGAGTTCCATGTGTACAGGAAAAAAAGGCATTGTCATTTTTGCATCCAACGGGTTACGTTTATCCATATCCATGTATGTGTGAATCACCTGGGACTCTATTTAGACTGATGAACTCGACTGAATTTCCCTGAGTCTTCAAGATAGCTTGCAATCTTCACACTATGTTCAGCAAATTGCTAGTAATGTCTTCCAGAACGAAAAGAGGAAATGTGTCAGCTTGACAGTAGAAAAAGTTGCGATGAAGGTGCCCCATGCATGTTTTAAAAATCCATTTGCCCTGTTGAAGAGTTCTTGGAGACCCAAAGTTCACTCCCTCTTTGCAAAACCTCTTTCGGCATAATAGTAAATACAACTTCAGCATGAATCTGAGATATTTTTCTCTCTCGAGGCAGCTTGGAACATGCTTTGAGACAAAAGGCACATTTTGAAGTAACAGTAATCTAAAAATAGGGGTTTTATATGCGTTTTTTGTGTATTTGTTTCAAATGATTTGCATAGCAAAATCAAAACAATAAAATCCCAAAGAAAGCTGAGTATGGAGCTGTGCGTGTCTGTGCATCGGTTAACTCTGAAATATGAATTGAATAAAGCATAAAGGGAACCAGTTCTGGAACTTGATTATCACCGAGAGCCAAGAAACACAAATGTCACATCCTTAGAGGGCCATTCTTCAGTTTGTAGCAGGATAGGTCCCTCCAAAGCCATGTCATGAATTCAATTAAAACGGCCAAAACACCTCTTGTGGTTCTGCCCTTTAAATACCATTTATGTGTTTCTGTTTGTGCATTTTATTAATTTAGTTTATGTGTTTTATTTAAGTTGCTCTTAGGATGAAAACTGGCTGGGTATTTGGTATGACAGAAGTTGGAAAGTGGAACTTCACATGGGCCAAACTCAAAACTTGGTGCTAGGTAATAATTGGACACGTTGAACTAAATTGGACCAGTAGAAGAACTTAGTGTGAATTTCCCTTCCTCTCTCACTTTAGGATAACTTCATATTTAAACTGGGGCTTTAAAAATCATGGAGAAGGCCACAAGGACGTAGATGTTTGGCTGCCATTTTCTCTGTGACCCATTTTTAAAGCCCGATCTAAAACTATCCCATTTGTTGAGTTGAAGATTTATTCCTTGGCTCTGCCGTCGTTTTCAAACACAATAATAGCACATCTATATCCAAAACAGCAAACTCTGAAATCAAAAAATAATGCAAACACAGGCACTATTTACCAGTTCAAAAATAAACCCTGGTCTTTATATGTTTTCCCTGCCCCAAATGGCTGGCGTATTTCTGACAACTGAACTAATTGGCTCATTAAGGGTACTTAAAAAGAACAAATTTGAGTACTCCAATAGCCTTTTTTTGCAGTCTGAAAGTTCAGAATCCAATGTTCAGAATGTGCCAATGATTCATCTTCCTGTTTGTGTAGCTCAGAGATCAGCTAGATTCTGATGTTGCCAAAATGGCACTCTTCGTGCAGAAGGGAGAATGTTAGTCAACTTGAGTTGGAAGAAAACCAAGATGTGCAGCTGCCCCTTCCTTCCTTCCTTCCTTCCTTCCTTCCTTCCTTCCTTCCTTCCTTCCTTCCTTCCTTCCTTCCTTCCTT